TAAGCAGGCTGGGATTTCTGGGAGTTGTAGGCCAGAACACCTGGGGATCCTCAGGTTACGAACCGCTGACCTACACTGGTGTGGGCCTTCCGCTCCCTTCCGGGCCAGGCGAGAAGGCCAGATACCTTTATGAGGCGCAGGATGTCGGCGCAGTCCTCAGGCCGCGCGGCGCGGATAACGAACGAGTCCATTTCCGACGGCGTTTCCCTTTGCGTCCCCCGCCTCGATTGAGTCCCCGATAGTTGAAGAGCAGGAGGAGCAGTTTCTTCATTCGCGTCCTGGGCGCAGCGGCGGCGAGACACGGGTAGTCAGGCGGACAGCATCCCGTAACGTGGGCTTGGGGAGGAAAACAAAACCACCGGATCCGGAAGTCTCTGTGCTGGGAACGTGAGGAGGGCCGCCGTATATATAGGATGCTGCGGCCCCGCCCACTCGCCACCCTGTCCAATCAGCGCCAGGCAGCCTCCCCTCGCTTCTCGCGCACCGCCCCTGACGTCATCCTTCTAGGAAATGACTCACTCGGGCGGGAGCCGGAAGGCAAGGCGGCGCCTGGGGTGAGGTTGCCCCCTCCTGGGGAAGCCCTTTGCCTTCAACTACACTGAAGAATTAATACAGGCCTCTTCCACACAACTGGACCACATCCCACATTATCTGCTTTGAACTGGAATATAGGGCAGTGTGGACTCAGATAACCCAGTTCAAAGCAGATATTGTGGATTTTTCTGCCTTGATATTCTGGGATATAGGGCTGTGTGGAAGGGCCCTGGGCAGAAGGCAGAAAAACCCACGATATCTGCTTTGAACTGGGTTATCTGAGTCCACACCCAGATAATGTGGGATATCCTACCTTGATATTCTAGGATATAGGGCTGTGTGGAAGGGCCCTAGTACTATACTCCATGCTACAAACTAATGTCTGGACTTGATTAATACTATAATTCAAAATACAAATGTGACTTAATGTAACACTGTTTTGCTGTTTAATAAAAAGAGTTTTAAAAAGTATTCTTTGTCCCCTTCCACACAGCTGAATAAAACCCCACATTTTCTGCTTTGAACCTGGATATATGGCAGTATGGATTCAGATTGAAGCAGGTATTGCGGGATTTTCTGCCTTGATATTCGGGGTTATATGGCTGTGTGGAAAGGCGCTTAGGGTCTATAATACTCCTGTGGCTAATAATAATTCCAAAGACATTTGAATTTGCCATTCTATATAAGTTACTCTAAATGCTTTGGGTGATACATGTTTTGAATTTTGTTTTATTTTAATTTGGAATTGGAATGCCTGTATTGATATGTCAGATACAAGATTTTATTATTTATCGTATCAGGGGCAAACCAAGGGTATAGTTGTGATGTATTTGAGTAAACACAATGTTTAAAAGCTTGGCATTATATTAAATGTCCTTTGACCAGTAACTGGCCACTTGGAGTGCCTCTGGTTTTGCTATAAGACAGGGGTCTTCAAACTAAGGCCCGGGGGCCAGATACATCCCTCCAAGGTCAATTACCCAGCCCTCGCTCAGAGTCAACCTAAGTCTGAAATGACTTGAAAGCACACAACAACAACAATCCTATCTCATCAGCCAATTTTTTTTTGTCGTGTCAGGAGCAAGTCGCTTCTGGTGTGAGAGAATTGGCCGTCTGCAAGGACGTTGCCCAGGGGACCCCTGGATGATTTGATGTTTTTATCATTCTTGTGGGAGGCTTCTCTCATATCCCCACAAGGAAGCTGGAGCTGATAGAGGGAGCTCATCCGCCTCTCCCTAGATTCGAACCTGCGACCTGTCGGTCTTTAATTCTGCCGGCACAGGGGCTTAACCCACTGCGCCACCGGGGGCTCCTTCCCATTGAAATACTAATAAGTTTATATTTGTTAAAATTGTTCTGCATTTTATTGTATTGTTTTAAAGTGTTTTTTGCACTACAAATAAGATATATGCAGTGTGCATAAGAATTCATTCATGTTTTTTTCCCAAATTATAATTCGGCCTCCCAACAGTTTGAGGACCCCTGCTATAAGACTTTCTTATAGCAACACCAGATAAGGGATACTTAACCTGTACAACTTTATTGTTTCATTCTTAAACCGATAGTAAGACACGAGACTTCAGATCTACAAGCAGCTTAATGAAAATGTATAACCAGTGATTCACTGACCATCTGGATCATGTTCAGCGACATATTAGCTTTAGTTAGCTTTTCTCAAAAATAAAATGTGCTGAGCCTGAACAAATCTTTTCCGGTTGTCCTCAGCTGAGAAATAAAAGATCATACCAGCATTTTTCCCATTCTAAGACACTGATAATTGTAAGACACACACTAGTTTTATTACCACCAACAGAAAAAAAGGTTTGTTAATATATTTAAAACACCCTTGAGTCTAGGGGCCCTTCCACACAGCTATGTAACCCAGAATATCAAGGCAGACAATCCCACAATATCTGTTTTGAACTGGATTATATGAGTCCAATTCAAAGATGATCCAGTTCAAAGCAGATAATCTGGATTTTATACAGCAGTGCAGAAGGGGCTTGGAGTCAGATCCTTGGATATAGGGCAGTGTAGATCTAATCTAGGTGAGCCAATTAACACACATTTAGGTGTCCCAACAGGACTTTCCTGTTTCAGATAAACCAGGACAGTTTCACTGAGAACGATTTCATGGGTTAAATTGGCCACACGCCCACAAATAAAGCTTAATCCTTTCTACAAGCAGGCTATTGCCCCTGGATGACTTCACAGGAGGCTCCACCCCACGTCTTTCAAAATACAATTCATAGCAAAGGACTGAATCACCATACTGTGTAACGTACATAAGTGGCAATTTCCATTTCTTGTTCAGGATATTTATTCCTAATTCTGAGAAGGGAAAAAACAGTCCTCAGATACGTTTCTCTTAATTTTTATTTCCTGCCTGTACTAATGTAAGGGTTATCTAATCACAGTCAAAGATGTATAAGGTGAGAAAATACCAAAGATATAAATCCAGGGAGCACACCACTCCACTGTTGTGCCAGCTTCACTGGCTGCCTGTCCACTTCCGAGCACAATTCAGAGTGCTGGTCTTGGCCTATAAAGCCCTATACGGTTCTGGCCCAGCTTACTTGTCCGAATGTATCTCCCTTTACATCCCGCCTCATAGCTTAAGATCATCTGGGGAGGCCCTGCTCTCGGTCCCGCCAGCCTTGCAAAGGGACAAGGCCTTCTCGGCGGTGGCCCTATGCCTGTGGAACTCGCTCCCCAGCAAGATCAGGTTGGCTTCTTCCCTCCTTTCTTTTTAGGAAGAAGGTTAAGTCATGGCTCTGAGACCAGGCCTTTAGACAGCAAGCATGACAGCACCTTGGATGTTGAACCGGACTGAACTTGGCTATATGGTTGATTACAATGTTTTTAACATGTTTTATCTTAATGTTTTATTTACTATTTTAAACTGTTGCTATTTGTGCTTATATTTGTATTGTACTGAGGCTGAATTGTGGCCGGTTTGTAAGCCACCCAGAGTCCCCCCTCGGAGGTTGAGAAAAGTGCAATAGAAATATTGGAAATAAATAATAATAAATAAATCAAATTAAGCTGTTATTGATAGAATGAACTGCCCAAGACATTTTGCCAACTGAGACAGAAGACAAACTGGGCTTAGCACAGCAGACAAAACCACTGTGCTGCGGAAACATCCCGCTGATCAAAAGGTCAGCAGTTTGACAGGGCAGGGTTGAGCACCCACCGTCAGCCCCAGCTCACCTGCCCACCTAGCGGATTGAAAGCAGAAATGCGAGTAGATAAATAGGTACCGTTTTTAGTGGGGACGTAATAAAAACCCCTTAAAGACATCATTGGGAGGTAGCTCCTCGGCATGGAAGGTGGAGTGACAGCACCCTCCATGGCCAGAGTCGAGCACACCCTCCAGGTTGCTGGAAATAAGATGGGGAAAAACTGCCTTTTCCTCTGTTGTGTTGTCTGCCCTTGTTAGTTGTATAATCAGCATTTAATGCTTGCCATGTGTGTGTTCTGTAAGCCGCTCTAAGTCCCCTTCAGGGTGAGAAGAGTGGGATATAAATACTGTAAATAAATAAATACTGTCCTGTTACCAAATCCATTCAAAATAGAGTGCCCAAGCAGGATGGGCCAAACACAGTTTCTATTTTAGTGCCTCAAATGTAAAGATATATAACTGAATATCAAACTCAGGATTGTCCACATCATTGTATTACATGTTTCTATGTACGATTGTGAAGATAGTAATATCACTTGAAATAATGGTGAATGAAAGAGGAGAGTTCTGCAGATATCAATAACTGCCAAAAATAAAAACAAAAGAACCTAGAGTTGATCAAACCTGAACACTCCCTAGAAGCCATGAAGACAGTTATGCTTTGGGGGATAGCACGAGAAGATGTGAATTCTTAGACAGGACATAATGCGTGGCAATAGGAAAAGGAGACTATGGATGCACCTACACTGTGCAATTAATGCAGTTTAACATCACATCACACTTGAGAAAAAAAATCCACTTTAAATCCAGTTTCTGCCTCCTGCAGAATTCCGGGGTTTGTAGTTTAGTGAGGCTGTTAAAGGCCCTTCCCTAAACTACAAAGCCCAGAATTTTGCAGCAGGCAGAAACCGGATTATATGTGGATTTTTTCTCTAGTGTGATGCGGCCCTATTAGAATCATAGAATTGGAAGAGATTTCGTAGGCCATCCAGTCCAACCCAAAACCAAGGAGCAGGAAACTTCAACTGCCATGGCTCAATGCTATGGAATCATGGGAGTTGTAGTTTTGCGGTTGCTTTTTTTGCATGCTCTGCCAAATAGAGCTGGTGCCTCACCAAACTACAAATCCCAGGATTCTATGGGCATACAGATGTGGTAGTTAAGGTGATATAAAATTGCATTCATTCTAAAGTGTTGTAGATGCACCTTGGATAGACACCCCGACAGTGAGCCACCTTAAATATTGGGAGAAAGGCAGGATAAAAGGAAAGGAAGGAAAAGGAAGGAAGGAAGGAAAGAAATGAAGAAAGGGAAGGGGGAGGGGGAGGAAAAGGAAAGAAGGAAGAGAAAGAAAGAAAGAAAATAAAGGCATTCTTTAGCATCAAGGAAACGGGAATCACCCCTCTGTGTGAAATGGACCAGCCTGGGCACCGTTCGAAGAGGCCAGCATTGGGAGGAACTACTTTGCAGAGAGGGGTGTTCCATAACACAGAAGCCAACAGTCTAGCGGTCCCACTGCTGAAGCAGCCCAGCCTGCAGGCCAAGTTCCTCTCCGAGGTGTGGCTCTTGGCAGGCGGCGAGAAGTAGCCCGGCTGAAACTGGAAGGGAAGCTGGTCGGTTTCCAAACGGGTTTCTCCGGGAAGAGGAAGGTGCCCTGAAGCTCCAGCACCGAACAGAATGCTGTCCCGCAGGTAAGGCGGCTCTGCACCGGTTCAAGGCTCCTGTTGCTTGTTTCTTCTCTGTATCCCAATCTTCTTTGGCCTGCGTTCCTGCTTCCCTTTGCTCAAGCCACATCTTGCAAATCGGCCTAACGTTCCTCGTCCTTCCTTGGATAGGAGACCAGCTTTAGCTGTGGCATGGTAGTGTCTACCTAGGGGTACATCTAGAATTAGTGTAGCTTGACACCACTTTTCCTCCCAAGACCCAGTGCTATGGGATCAGGGAGAGCTCTAGGGCAATGCTGCTTAAGCCCCACAGGCAGACTGGACCTGTGCAATTCATTGGGTGCATTACACTGTAGAATTAATACAGTTGGATACCACTTTAATAGCCATGGCTCAGTGTTATGGAATCGTGGGAGTTGTAGTCTTGCAAGGCCCTTAGCCTCCTCTGCCACATAGTGCTGGTGCCCCACGAAACTACAGCTTCTCTGATCCCATAGCATTAAGAAGTGGTCTCAAATTGCACCAATGTAGAATCACCTGTAGGCAAGGAACATTCAGAGATTGACTATTGACTACAGCCCCTTCCAAACAGCTGTGTGAAATGCCACATTATCTGTTTTGAACTGGGTTATATGGCAGTGTGGACTCAGATAACCCAGTTCAAAGCAGATATTGTGATATTTTCTGCCTTGATATGGCTGTGTGGAAAGGCCCTTAAACCATTGGTCCTGACCCCTTAGCACAGTGTTTCTCCACCTAGGGGTCAGGACCCCTGACAGGGTTGTGAGTGAGTGTCAGAGGGGTCACCAAAGACTATCAGAAAACACAGTATTTTCTGTTAGTCATCAGCATTCTGTGTGGGAAGTTTGGCCCAATTCTAGCGTTGGTGGGGTTCAGAATGCTCTTGGTTTTAGTTGAACTATAAATCCTAGCAACTACAACTCCCAAATGTCAAGGTCTATTTTCTCTAAACTGTTCACTGTTCACATTTTGGCATTTTGAGTATCTGTACCAAGTTTAGTCCAGATCCATCATTGTTTGAGTCCACAGTGCTCTCTGAATGTAGTTGAACCACAACTCCAAAACTCAAGGTCAATGCACACCAAACCTTCCAGTATTTTCTGTTAGTCTTGGGAGTTCCGCGTGCCAAGTTTGGTTCAATTCCATCATTGGTGGAGTTCAGAATGGTCTTTGATTATAAGTGAACTATAAATTCCAGCAACAACTCCTAAATGACAAAATCAATTCCCCCAACCCTGCCAGTATTCAATTTGAGCGTATTGGGTAGTTGTGCCACATTTGGTCCAGTGAATGAAAATCTATCCTGCGTATCAGATATGTACATTACGATTCATAACAGTAATAAAATTACAGCTATAAAGTAGCAATTAAATTAATGTTCTGGTTGGGGGTCATCACAACATTTGGAGCTGTATTAAGGGGTTGCGGCTTTAGGAAGGTTGAAAACCACGGCCTTAGCACAATGTTGGGGTCCCAAAAATTTTGGCAACAGTAAAAGGTTTCTGAATGTCACCCATTTACAGAAATCTGTTAGCAACAATGTGCAGTGTTTACAGTGAACTCTGAAGAAAATGCTTCAGCTGTACAGCACAAAGAGAAAAATCAGCCTGTTTAGCAAGTCTTGCAGATGCTGGTCTATTTTCAGTAAAGTTTTGATGTTTATACTTATTTGATATCCCTTTATACCTGGAGTCATGTAGAAATTTCTCTGTCAGAAAGAGGTCGCGAATAGAATAAGTTTAAGAAGACATGCTCCAGCACAAGTCCTCTTAGAGAGAACATTTCCAGTGGAAGTTGACCATATTACTATGCTTGAGAACCTAAATATTCCTGGAGATGAGATCTTTCTGTTTAAAAGTGGTAGTTTTTCAATTAATGTTTGTTTGTTTTTTACTTTTTGTGGGGGTCCTCTGCACCTGACACCAGCAAATGTGGAGGCCTTACTGCATAGCTCTTGAGCATTAGTTCTTTGTGTTCGATATGACACTGTTTGTGCCATTAACAAGATGTGGCCAAGCATTTAGATGGGATAAGTGTTCTTCTCTCCTGTGTGCTGCTGTCCTATCCATTCATCCTTTCTCAGTGGCATATTTCAGGTATTCCCACAGTGTACTTATCATGGTAGTGGCATAATCTCTATCTCTGTTGGTATTCTGCCAGTATAATATAGACCAGTGGTTCTCAACCTGTGGGTCCCCAGATGTTTTGGCCTGCAACTCCCAGAAATCCCAGCCACTTTACTAGCTGTTAGGATTTCTGGGAGTTGAAGGCCAAAACATCTGGGGACCCACAGGTTGAGAACCACTGGTGTAGACATACCTCTCTATATATCAGGAGTCTGAATCTTGTGTCCCTACAGTTGTAGTTAAACTGCAGCTCTTACCATTTCTCACCATTGGCTATCTGGTCAAGAGCTGATTGGAGTAAAGAACCCAATATTTGGAGGATTGGACAAGTCTCATTGTTATTTTGTAATATCTCATCCAGCAGACTTCAATGATTGTGCTCTTAATGTGTTCAGTAGTGTCACACTGGTGTTGACAATGTGCTTAATTCTTCTATTTCAGTGTATTTTCACTAAGCAAGGCCTGTCCTCTCCTGGCTAGGAATCTGACATCATCCACCAGTGGCTTTCAGACTACAATGGAGGAAGGTAATATATCAGAACTGGACAACACATGACACATGACCCAAAATGTATATATCTTCTCTTTTGTAGAGTCTCCTGCTGAAGAGTAACATAGAAGTAAGAGCTATACTGTGCTTCGTGGGTTTGAGTATGGGTATGAAGGAGGAAGTAAATTGCTTTTTAAAAATTTTATACTGATGAGAAACTTTTACAATAAGTAATTTTGGGCAGCTTTTTGCTGCTTAATACAAGACCTCCACTTCTGGCGGGAAATGATCAGATAAATGGCAGGATAAAATCGAATTGAGTGTGAAGAGAAAGAAAATACAATTATTCAATATTCTTCAGTTCTGTACGTGTCTGGGAAAACATATGAGGAATATATTAATTCTGGAGTGCCAATAAATGATTACTAGAATAAAATACATTAATAGGCACTTGTGAATATTTTTTGTTTTGTGACTGAGTGTGGTAATGGCAGAAAATAATACAAGTTGGGTATTTTCCCTTTTCTTTTTATGTTTTTGCAGTTAATCTAAATTGCTTTTTCTCCTTCACAGGACAGTTACCAATTCATGTGAATAATGGTGTGTTATGGTAACCTGTATGCATTTTAATATGACTTTGCATCTATGCTGTCTTGTTCCTATCAATCTTTCTTGATGGGTTAATGAAAAAAATCTACATTCATATTTTCTGACACCAATTTCCTGTTGTTTGTTGGTGATGGTTTCAAACTGTGAAGCAAAACCAGCATGTCTTATTAATCATAACATAATCTATGGGTTGATGTGAGTTTTCCAGGCTGTGTGGCCACGTTCTAGAAACATTATCTCCTGTTGTTTAGGCCATAGGCATTCTCAGAGGTTGTGAGGCCTGTTAGAAACTAGTCAAGTGGGGTTTATATATCTGTAGAATATCCAGTGTGGGAGAAAGAAGTCTTGTCTGTTTGAAGCAAGTGTGACTGTTACAATTGGCCACCTTGATTAGCATTTAATGGCCTTGCAACTTCAAAGACTGGCTGGTTGCTCCCTGGGAGGATCCTTTGTTGGGAGGTGTTAGCTGGCCCTGATTGAGTCTTGTCTAGAATTCCCCTGTTTTTTTAGTGTTGTTCTTTATTTACTTCCTGATTTTAGAGCTTTTTTAATACTGGTAGCCAGATTTTGTTCATTTTCATAGTTTCCTCCTTGTTTCTAACAGACCTAACACTTGCCTAGTTTCCAACAGACCTCACAACCTCTGAAGAAGCCTGCCATAGAAGTGGATGAAATGTCAGGGGAGAATGCTTCTGGAACATGGCCATACAACCTGGAAAACTCACAGCAACCCAGTGATTCCAGCCATGAAAGCCTTTGACAACACATTTGTCAAAGGCTCATTTTAGTCATGTTGACTAAAGGTCATTTTAGTCATGTTGACAGGAGATCAGAGAGACAGAAGTTTTTTTTAAAAAAAACAACAACAGTAGATTAGTTTTCATCCTGGAAGCCTTTGGCCAATAAACTGCATTTCAGTGTCCTCTTGTTTTCTGGACTCGCATTATCCAGCAGTTCAAGGCTCCCTTATGGCTACTACTTTACAGCCATTCAAGTGTATTCTATAGGAAGTAATGAGGGAATGACAAGTTCTTCCTAAAGATTATGGCAGTTCCCTACACTTTGAAATAAGTGCTGGTCCAGCCACATGAATGTAGTCTGACTAACCCTCCTGTTCCTAGGTTTTTCACTTTGCTTACTGAATTCTCATTAAGTGCTCTTTATCTCTGATCCATTCTTTTTCTCAAGTAGCCATATATCTCAACAATTATGCTTCCTCTTTGTCACTTCTTTGCGTGCTTTGTATGCTTCCTTGAGCTGTGTTGCCTTTACTTTCTTTGTTTTCATGACTATTCCTATTTCAGTGATTCAGGTAGTAGGAAATCTAAAGCATTCTGCATGCTTTTTTGTGTGAGAAAGAGCAAAATAATACGTAAGCAATATGGAATCTCAGGATGCCTTATTTGTAGTTGTTTAGAAACCTGTGTTCATGAATGTCCCCAGTATTAAGGATCACAATCTCTAAAGAGCTACACAGTTTTGTGAGGATTGACTAGAAAGCCTTATATGAGTCAGTGTATTGGTATGAGCTCCCATAGTGTTGGTGCTCATTCATAATTTCTTTGTCTTCTAACCTCATTTCGGAGCGGTTAGGATTACACAATGTAGCATGATTTTTGTTCCTTGGTTATAAATGTCATTTCCAAATTGGTTCTATCATTTAAAAAATGGAAAACGTTTGTTAAAATGCAAAAACTTTATTTTTGTGAGACATCCTGCAGCACATTTTGCTATAGTTTTCCAACTAATATCTCATCAAGTCTGAACCAATTAACATAGTTTGTGGCAGCCACAAAAAATTGAAGTTTCTGGAGTAGAATAATAGAATCATAGAGTTGGAAGTTACCTCCTCATCCAGTCCAACCCCCTGCCAGGAACATGGGAAATTGCATTCAAAGCACCCCCCGAATAGATGGCCATCCAGACTTTGTTTAAAAGCCTCCAAAGAAGGAACCTCCACCACACTCTGGGACAGAGAGTTCCACTGCTGAACAGCTCTCACAGTTAGGAAGATCTTCCTCATGTTCAGGTGGAATCTCCTTTCCTGTAGTTTGAAGCCATTGTTCTACGTCCTAGTCTCCAGGGCAGCAGAAAACAAACTTGCTCCCTCCTCCCTATGACTTCTCCTCACATATTTATACATGGCCATTATGTCTCCTCTCAGCCTTCTCTTCTTCAGGCTGAACATGGCCAGCTCTTTAAGCTGCTCCACATAGGGCTAGTTCTCCAGACCCTTGATCATTTTAGTTGCCCCTCTCTACACACATTCCAGCCTGTCAACAATTGAACACAGTGTTGGACACAGTGCGATTCCAGGTGTGGTCTGACCAAGGCAGAATAGAAGGGTAGCATGACTTCCCTGGTTCTAGACATTATGCTCCTGCCAACATGCTGCATAAATAACCACTACTGGTTATAGTATTGCACGATTAAACAGGAATTACACTTTCAAACCAAGAACAGATTTTTTTTCAAATTTTGTTACATACTTTATGATTTAGAGAGAAAGAGAAGGACCATTTTGTTTGGCAGGATCATATAGAGAACTTGAGGAGTCTAGCTGAACTACAATGGATCTGGAGGATTGCAGGAGTCCAGACATTTGCGCTAGATATTTTTAGGGATTAGTAGTTGTACTGCATGCTTTGAAGGATCACCAAGTTTCCTTGTTTCCAATAAGCTTATCCAAAGTAATATAAGTTCTGCACTGTTTTCTTCTGCAATTTACTATCACTTGGGAAAGTGGTGTAGTGGTTTGAGTACTGGACCAAAACTCTTGGAGGCCAGGGTTCAAATATCCCCTTGTCCATGGAAACCAACTGGATTGCCTCAGGCAAATCATACACTCTCAGTCTCAGAGGAAGGCAGTAACAACACCTCCTTGCAACAAGGCAAGCCAAGGAAGCCCCATGACAACTTTGTCTTAGGCTTGCCATAAGACGTAAATGACTTGAATACACAGAACATACATAGGATCATGTACTACATGAAAGGCACTATTACATCCCTTTGTTGATAAACTAGAAGCAGGGTGCTGCCAAGAAGTACATATAGTTGTCCAGCTGATCAAGAATATAGTTGTCTGGCTGATCTGGAATGTATAGAATATTAAGGTGTAACTTATTTGGAAAATCAGAAAAGCCTATGAATGCTGAGCTTTGCACTAATGCATTTAAACGGATTTTATATTTGTAATACAGCTGTTCCAGAGGAGAGTCTTCTGGCTGTAAAATATGCATATTTTAATGAACCTGCTTTTAAATACATCTCTATGCTTCCACTTCTCTTTTCTTTCTTTATTGCAGACCATCAACTAAATAAATAATCTCATTCTTGCTCTAGTGTATGTGACACCATAACATTTTGTCCAACATTATCAAAACAGATAATTACTACATTATCTGGTTTATACTGGATTATCTGAGTCTACACTGCCCTATAAACCAATTCAAAGCAGATAATCTGGATTTTATATAGCAGTGTAGAAGGGGCATGATTGACTTTTTTGGGTGAAAGCCAGTTCTGAAAAGGATCTGACTTGTTTAATTCTTTCTGCAACATTTAGCTTAAAGGATTTGAAATCTACTTTTGGAGGATGTCTAATTATGGCTGGATCTACACTGCCCTATCTCCTGGGATCTGATCTCAGATTATATGTTATGAACTGAATTATATGAGGGCCCTTCCACACTGCCACATAGCCCAGAATATCAAGGCAGAAAATCTCACAATATCTACTTTGAACTGGGTTATCTGAGTCCACACTGCCATATATTCCAGTTCAAAGCAGATAATATGGTATTTTATTCAGTTGTGTGAAAGGAGCCTGAGTCTACACTGCCAGATAATCTGGGATAAGCAGATAATCTGGGATCAGGTCCTAGAATATAGGGCAGTTTCGATCCAGACTTAGAGTGAATTCTGCTTCTTTTTTTTTAAAGCCATGTTACATTTGTTTGATTATCATGGTTGTCACTACTTGGAAAGGTATAGTTGGATTCTTCCACTAGAGCAGGAATGAATATGACTGGGTATTGCTTTTCAGATGCTCTTTGCATGACTTTGCTTCCACTTCTATTTCTATAAAAAATGTTTTATCATTGTTATGCCATCAGGTTTTCCTAACTGATCTTTGTTTTCTTTCAGTGCGAAATAAATTGAGAGAGATAGTAGGAGCATCTACTAACTGGAGGTATGGGACTTGTAAACTTGAACTTTTTTGTAGTTGCATTACTTTATGAAATGATCCTATGAAATACGAACAGTCGTTCAGAACACCTTGAAGAAATGTCAGTGTGTTCTTCCTACATTGCAAAAAATTGGCATGAAACATATAATATAACCTATCTAATTGATAAAGTGAGGTGCATTTACACTGAAGAATAAATAGAGTTAGATTTAAAACTTCCATGGTTAAATGCTATGGAATCATGGGAGTGGTCGTTTTATAAAACTGTTCACTTTCTCTGGGCCCTTCCACACAGCCTTATAACCCGGAATATCATGGCAGAAAATCCCACAATATCTGCTTTGGACTGGGTTATATGAGTCCACACTGCCATATATTCCAGTTCAAAGCAGATAATGTGGGATTTTATTCAGCTGTGTGGAAGGGACTTCTGCCAGAGTACTTACCAATCTACAATTCCCAGGATAATGGCAGTTAAAGTGTCAAATAACATTAATTCTACAGTGTATACGCACCCTAAGTCATGGTTAGTCATGGTTATGGTTAAATTAAAGTTTGAATTGATAATTTCCATCTTAAAACTCATTATTTTAATAGTTATGTTGCAGAAGCTGTACCTTGACCCTAGGTTTTGTTTTTCCCTCTCATTTGGAATCATTTGTTTTGGCTATTCCTCCACTTCAGAGACCACGTACAAGCAATGAATGAACGAAAAGCTTTAAATACACTCCTTGCTAAAAGCCAGGCTGAGTTGCCGCCAAGGAAGATGAGTGACAGCTATATAGAAGTTATCCTACCTTTGGGAAGCCAGCCTGAAATAAGAGAGAAATACCTTAATGTGCACAATACAGTCAGGTAAAGATAGTTCTATTTTTTGCATTTCATTTTGGGGCCCTACCATTCACAGAGTTTTATTCATTGCCTTACACTTTTGTTTTGATAGGTTTGGCCGAATTCTTGAAGATCTCGATAGCTTAGGAGGTATGTAATGAATAAAATTAACATATTAAGTGATTTGATCATTTGAATAATGAGCAATTTTCTCTTTGGGAAAAAACTTTTTACGTTTAAGATTTTGACATGTAAAACTTTTCGTGAAGTAGATATATGTACTTTGCCCAAGGTTATACAAAGGAACCATGACTGAGCAGAGGTTTGAACTCTGTCCTATAGGTCCATATCTAGCATTGTTTCTCCCACTAAACTAGTGGGATATTATTACTTCCCACTAGTGTTGTCCTTACAAAAAACAACTTAGAGAGAAAATGTTCACAATGTGTTGTTAATAGGTTAAGGAATGCACATATTATCTTATGTACAGCTGCATATTATTGCAGTTTGCCCTTGCTCCATCTTATTTCTGATAACAGTCGTCAAGTTAGCTGGTTTTAGATTAGTGAGAAGTGATAAAGGCTACTGTGTTAATCATTTGAAAGTCCTTTTGATTTTTTGTCACTCTTCCGGTGATTTATTGCTTGTAGTAAAGGTAAAGGTTTTCCCTTGACATTGAGTCTAATTAAGTCTGACTCTTGGGGGGGGGTGTGTGTGCTCATCTCCATTTCTAAGCCGAAGAGCCGGCATTGTCTGTAGACACCTCCAAGGTCATGAGGCCAGCATGACTGCATGGAGTGCCATTACCTTCCTACCGAAGCGGTACCTATTGATCTACTCACATTTTCATGTTTGCGAACTGCTAGTTTGGCAGAAGCTGGGGCTAACAATGGGAGCTCACCCCGTCACATGGATTCAAACCGCTGACCTTCCGGTCAGCAAGTTCTGCAACTTAGTGGTTTAATCCGCTGCTCCACTGCAGCTCCATACTGCTTGTAGGAGAGATGAAAACATTTTATAAATACAGAGAATAATTGATGCAGTCTTTCTTATTACTTTTCCACAGTTCTTATTTGTTATACCCACACAAAACATGACGTTGCTCAAAGATCCCCTCTGTCTATTGTTACAGCATTGGTGGATAAAATTGGTAAGTGTTGTTTGGTATACACATTCAATAATCCCTGTTTTGGCAACACGCACTGTTGTGTGTGTTGCATTGTATCCATCCTCGCAGTTGAATAACTGGGTCAGGCAGGCAAAATTTTTCATGCAGAGACAAGAAAAGAATTTTGATTCAGACAGGCTTATGCCAACTGACTGTTTGCCAGGGATATTACTTGTCTTTAAAATGTTTTAATACGGTTGTGTTTCTGTTTGTATTATTTGAAAATCTTATAGCAAGCCTGATTGGTTTCTGGTTTGGAGAAGAAGGAGGCTATAATAACTAGAATAAATAAAAGTTATAGTAAATATGCATTTATGCTGAAATGATATCGCTGTTGCACCAAATTCCCCCTCGTCTGACTGTAACATCTGTTTTGGGAAAGGTGTTACATGACTTTTTGAGACTTTTTAAGAAAGTACCTGGGGGAAATTAGGATACACTTCTCAGGCAACGATTTATTTATGGTAAGGTTTAATTTATTGGAAATGTTTCATGCATTGACTTAACCCACATGCTTAACAAGGTTAGATGTATAAATTTGTAGAATAGAAAGGAACTTCAGCGTAGCAACTACAATGCATGATGCAAATATGGCATCTCTCATTTTTGTTGGCCCAACTTCTGCTTCAGATTTTCCTGCAAAGGAGACACATCCACTTCTGATCCCAATCTGTTCCATTGCTAATGCCAAATGTTTCTTTTTGTTGACATTCTTCAGTGTCTTGTTCTTTGATTCATATTTCTACATTGTTAGGTTTATGGGAGCAACACATTCATCCAGATCGTGATATCAAATTCATTGGAAATGTTTCATGGGTAGGGAGGACCTCAATGGAAGTGAAAATGCACATGCTTCAGGTGAGTGGTGGCAAATTATTCCAAGTAAGCAAGTAAATAAAAATAAGGAATCCTAGATCTGAGTAGCTACAATGTATAGCTCGTAAATGTTACTGGCCTGCAATTGCCTGAGCTGTGGTCCTAATAAGGTTTTCTAGGCTCAAATTTAATAATGCAGTATTTTTAATAATAATATGAATAATATGAAAGTACTTATTGGGAGATGAGTTACAGAAAAACTACAAGACTTCCTAGCATATGATACCTGTGCCGTTACACCCAGACGCTTTATAAACTAAACTCTGATGTGCTGTTCCTATGTCTGGGTGAACCGCTAGGGCTTTCTGGAGAAATTGAGATAATAAAAAATGGAGTCCACTGCGAGGTCTAAACATCAAAAAGGGGGATATTTATTTCAATAGTTGCTCTCAATAGTTGTTCCCAATAGTCAATACAATTATTCTCTCAATAGTCAATTAAACTTATCTCACTATACTTAATTGTTGTTAATCTAGCTTACCTAACTATACTATCTCAATTTCAATAGTTCTCAATTACTCTTATAGTTGTTAATTTAGCTTACCTAACTATGCTATCTCAATTCTCAATACTCAGTAGCTGATCTCAATAGCCAGTAGCCAGTAGCTGATCTCAATAACCAGTAGCCAGTAGTTTTTGCGGTGGTTTTTTCTGGGCTGCCCTATTTGGCCCTCAGCACATCCAAAAGGCTTCTTTGGAACTGAACAGGGTAGGGAGACTCCAAAATGGCTGCTTCTACCCTGGAAACAGGGGCGGGCCCAAAGAGCTACTCTTTGGCCAATTATTGCAGAGGGCCTGAAAACTGGCTTTCCTGCCTCTGGCTGCTAACTTTTTAGGCCTTTGCAGAGGCTGCAGCAGCCTAGGAGAAAGGCAAGGGGCAACCAATTTAAGCAACCCAAAAAGGCGATAAACCCAGTCTCCTGGGAGACGGAACAATACCAGTAGCACACAGTGTATTCTGTACTGTTACTACTTTTTGCCTAGTTTTGGTGGTTTCAGGGTAAGGATATAATTCTTCACTGAGTTTCTTCTCAAAGATTACAACAAGTAATTAGCAATAGCAAGAGTATCCCTCTGGGCAGCTAAACCAGGAAATTCCAACTGGATGGCTCCCCACGAGGGTCTTCCTCCCGGAGTCAACCAAGAATGGGCAACTTGGAAGTCCCTGAACAGACTCAGAAATGGAGTGGGCAGATCAAAAGACAACCTGGCTAAATGGCATTGCCTAGAACAATCCTCCACCTTGTGAGACTGTGGAGCAGAACAAACAATTCCGCATCTGTATACTTGTCCACAATGCCCTGCCTCATGCACAGAGGAAGAATTGTTTAAAGCTACAGACAATGAGGTCGCTGTTGCCCATTTTTAGTCAAAAATTATTTAGTTGCTTGTGTTCCCTTTATTTTATCAGTTTTATACTATTTATGTAATGCTTTTGACACAAACATAAATAACAAGTAATTCCAGTATTTTTCTTCTGGCTGTCAGAAAGTCTTTGAAAAACACACAGTTATTGAAAGTAATTTACACTTCAGGACTTATTCTTGACAAAATTAACATGTGATTGTTTGTACGGAAAATATGGAAATAATTTTCTGCATGGAAATAATAATTCCATGCAGAAATATGAATTACTATGTAGAAAATGCTGATTTTATGCAAATCATCCATTTGCTTAGCAAATTTTAGACAAAATAGATTTGCAGTAATTTTCCATATAGAAAATGCTGTTTCCAAACAGAAAATGTTTCTTGCTCAAAACAACCAGAATATGCCCCAAACTGCAAAAATCCTCATCAGTTCAGGATTCTTTAAATCAGGATTTCTTGAAACTCAGAAACATTTTTCAACCACTGAAAAATATTTCCAAATGTTCTCTCCATCCCTACTTCAGGATGAGTTTGTCTCTTTAATGCCATGTAGAAATGGTTTAGTGTATTGGTTCTGAATGTACCATAAGTGTGTGTGGGCAGTAAGATTGCCATATTATGTGAACCTAATTTTGGCAAGGTACGGTAATTTGCCAAAAAAGATGAGCATTAGATTTGAGTAAATAGAGTAAATCAGATTTTTTTCTTAATTTTGGAGTTATTATAGGTCATTTTTCAGTTCTGTTTTCCAAGATGAAGACAATGGGAACCAGTGAATAAAATTTATTATCATTTTTCTCTGTATGAAGTGATTTACATTATACTAAAGCAGTGCTTTTAATAAAAGGGTGACTTCCAATTATAGCAGGAATGCTTGAGAATATTAAAAGAAAAGGTAAAAATTAAATCCACACAAAACAAAATACGAAGATCTTCATTGCATTATCAGTGGGAGCTGGATAGGCCACTAAATGTCATTTACCTCCTATTGTTTTTGTTTTTAGTTAAATGATGGTATCTATGGCCCTGTGTTAGATGCAACATTTGTCATGGTGGCTCGTGATCCAGAAAACAAAAGGTAATGCTTCTAGCAAATCATTGGAAATAATTTTACAGAACACAAATCTTTCTGATTGTGAAAAAAGAAGGAAATGAAAATTGGAAGGTTTATTAAAACTCATGTATCTTAGGATGATTCTACACTGTAAAGTCAATGCCATTTTACACCACTTTAACTACCATGGATCAGTGCTATGAAATCATGGGAATTGTATGGAGCCCCAGTGGCGCAATGGGTTAAACCCTTGTGCCAGCAGGATTGAAGACCGACAGGTCAGAGCTCCCTCTGTCAGCTCCAGCTCCCCATGTGGGGACATGAAAGAAGCCTCCCATAAGGATGGTAAAACATCGAAACATCCGAGCGTCCCCGGGCAGTGTCCTCGCAGACGGCCAATTCTCTCATACCAGAAGCAACTTGCAGTTTCTCAAGTTGCTCCTCACACGAAAAAAAGGGAATTGTAGTTTTACTACCAAAGAGTGCTGGTGCCTCACCAAACAGCAATTTCATATATACCAAACTTCCAGGACTCTGTAGCACTGAAACATGTGAGTTTAATTGGTGTCAAACTATATTAGTTCTACAGTAGAGATATAAGTAATGTTTAGAGCTCTTAAGTTCCTTTGCCTCTTTCAACCCGAAAAAAATCTTTAATTAATTTTTTATGAATGTGATTACTCTTCTGAACTATGGTTTAATGCTTTATAAAATGAACTGTTTTGCAACAAAAGTGGGTTTGTTTTTGTGTCTAGGAGTGTGATCTCTTCCTCATCAGTAGATCTTAAGCAAGTTACTTATCTTTTATTCTTGCTTGCTTGCTTTTCTATGAAATTGACATTTTGTGATGAGCGATGTCTGTCTTGATAGCCATTGCATGCCTGAACGTGGCCAAATGGAAGCTGTTTTATAATTATACCCTTGTTACTCACTTTTTAAAAGTGCCCATCAGCTCAAAAAATAAATAAATTAGAGAATCAGGCTTAAGTTGTTAAATGAACATGCCTTGGCTTATATAGGCTAACTATCCTCTTCAAACAACTACTTTTTCAGTTTCAGTAATTTATATTTTGGGCAATAAGCAAATATTATATGTGCACGACAGTGCTGGACTGGAGCAAACGATGGCTTATTTTCCCCTCAGGGAAAAAAACATGTTGTTTTGAATGTAATTTTTCAAACTATCTGCAGGCCAGCATTTGTGAACCCATTGATTCTTGAGACTCCAGAAGAGGAAAAAATCTTCAGTGAAGGAGAATGTACGTGATCTGTTTCTTTGGTTAATGGGGTGGATATCTGGCTATGGCAATTCTTGAAATGAGGAGTGTTGAATTTTATAAGAGATGGAAAAGTGATTACTAAATCACAAGAACTACGCAATTCATGTACTTCTTGTGGTCACTCCATTTTTGAAGATTTAGTTGAGCTCCCTCTGCCAGCTCCAGCTCCTCATGCGGGGACATAAAAGAATACTCCCACAAGGATAAAATATCAAACATCCGGATGACCCCTGGGCAATGTCCTTACAGATGGCTAATTATCTCACACCAGAAGCAACTTTCAGTTTCTCAAGTTGCTCCTGACACACACAAAAATCCTCAAACTGGACTCAGGGCAGATCACAGAAACGTATACGGCAAATGTTCAATGCCAATTATACAGTGACAAGACAGACAACACATAGAGGTATATATAGGCTTTTCCCATATTTCGACATCCTTGGAGGCTGTGCTCATTTCCCGCCACGGGGGGTGCTGTCACTCCATCTCCTTGCCGAAGAGCTTTCTTTGTTAACGCCCTTCTTTTTCTGATCAAAACACTGTGCCTAAAATACCTCCCTGCTTTATTGTGGTTCCTATTTATCTACTCATTTTTGTTTTTGAACTCCTAGGTAGGCAGAAGCTGAGCGAAAGGTCAGGCACTCACCCTGACCTGGGCTTTGAACTGTCAACCTTCTGGTTGGCAGGATTTATTGCAGCTTGGTGATTAACCTGCTGTGCTAAAGCCCTGCCCATTTCTGAAATGTGAAATACTCCCCAACTCAAAAATTTATTTTCCACACCAAATTATTTAAAATATTGTATAAAATTACCTGCAGGCTGTATGTATAAGGAATACAGGCAGTTCCCGAGTTACAAACATCCGACTTACAAATGACTCATAGTTAAGAATGGGGGTGAGACAACAGGAAGTGAGAGAAATCTACCCCTAAGAAAGAAAATCCACTTCTGAAACAGTTATAATGGGGGAAAAGATGTCTCCACTGAAGCTTTATCACCAATCCTTGTTTCCACAACAAGCCAAAATTTTCAAAATCTCATTATCACAGGGACAAAATGTGAGATGAAATCTTCTGAACAGAGGTACAGGCGGCAAAACAAAGCTTATATATATATATATGTGTGTGTGTGTGTGTGTGGCTGGAATCACACCTAAAATGTACCTGTTCTGCCTTACTTACAAATTCAACTTAAGAACAAACCTACATAATCTGTATTGTTTGTAACTTGGGGACTGTCTGTATATGAGACATACATTAATTTCATGTTTAGATTTTGGTCCCAGCTCTAAGAAATATCATTTTGCATGTATATACAAATGCGAGTATTTCAAAATCCCAAAAAATGAAATCCAAAACACTTCTGATTCCAAGCATTTCGGATAAGGGATGATTCACCTCTTTTGGTTTATCTTAATTTTCATGTGCTATTGAGCTCAGAAATATCTCTTCAAACCAAATCTCTAATATGGTTCAAAGTGTTCTTATAGATACGTAAAGCATGACATGATCTGTTCGAAAGTAGTGTGGAGAATATGGAGATATCTTTAATTCTTTATTTTTTTCATTTGTTTTTATGGTTTTTTTTCTGTTTAATTGATTAGTGAACAAGACAAGAAGAGTTGATTCTAGTAGAGCTTCCTTGCTAAAAATGGCTCCTACTGCCGAAGAAAGAAATATTATTCACCACTTGTTTCTTAATACACTGGACACAAGGTAAGTGGTAGAGTCTCTAATGCCTATCATTAGAATTTAGAACTGAAGTTTATTGATTTTGATTGTTATTAAATTTGCAAATATATTATTATTCCCTTCCATCAAGTGCAAGTGATTATTGCCATCACTGATATATACTTATTCTAAGCTTTGGATGGGGAAAGCTGAATCCATTTGTCTTCTTACCTAGAGTAGACTCATTTAATTAGTTGTTCAGTGGTTAAATCAACACTTACGTAAGTCTATAATTGGATTTTGCACAGAGCCTTTGTACAGGTTGAGCATCTCTTGTCTGGATTTCTGAAATCCAGAATTGTCAACATGGTTGGTTGAGATAGTGACACCTTTTCTTTCTGATCTTCAGTGTACACAAACTTTGGATCATGTACCAAAAGATAAGCAGAAGCAAAATTAAATTAAGGAAGGGACTTTCGGAAAATGGTGACAAAACATTGTGGGGAGGAGCTGGATTGCAACTCACAAGCAGGACATCATGGTTCACAATCTCCTTCTACAGTTGTTCTCTGTATCTAGCAGAGACCATATTTCTCTGACTCTTGCGGCAGCACATAGCCATCATAAATGGAGGAAGTGAAGTAATTTTTCTATATTTATTTAGCTTTCCTTTTCTAAAGCAACATGAAGGAAGCTATCAGTACATCCTATAAGCAGACAAGTTTGCTTCATAATACTGGCCTGTGATGGCTGTTTTGCTATTTCAATTCCTTCTCCCTTTTCACAGGACTGTGAGTTTCCGGAGCCGTGTGTTGCCACCCAACTCTACTTGGATGCAAGACACATCATTAAAGAGTTTGGAGATCTGCCATCCCGAGGTATCTGCACAGCTTTAGCACTTCTAAATGAATGTATTATGTTCTTTTCCCGCTTGGCCAAAAGACATTTGACTCCTGAGCCAAACTGGTATTTTAATGAAATAAATAAAAACTTTATGTATAGACCACCCTCTCTCCCCGGTGGGACTCAGGGCAGTTTACAACACAAAAAGGCAAGCATTTAATGCCCAGACAAATGCAAAAAACAAACAAAAAACAAACAAACAAAACCCCCCAAAACTAGTTACAATAATGCAATATAAATACAAATAATCACATAGAAACAGATTACACTAATCACATACTCAACATTAAAACATCTTAAATGATAAAAACTATTAAAATAAATGGAAATTGGCTGATTATAGTTGTTCTTGAAGTATACCCAAGTGGCCACAAGGGACAAGTAGGTAGGCCAACATTCCAATTGATCTAGATCCGTGGTTCTCAACCTGTGGGTTCCCAGGAGTTTTGGCCTGCAACTCCCAGAAATCCCAGCCAGTTTACCAGCTGTTAGGATTTCTGGGAGTTGAAGGCCAAAAACATCTGGGGACCCCAGGTTGAGAACCACTGATCTAGAGGGTCCTAGTCCTTCTCCTCTCCATATGCCAAAGTGCTAAGGTGCGTCTTCAAGAGTTTTTTTCAAGGAGAGGAGGGTGGAGGCCGTTTTTATTTCCTTGGGGAGGGAGTTCCAGAGATGGGGAGTGATCATGGAGAAGGTCCCCTCTCTTGTTCCCACCAATCGAGCTTGTGACAGGGTGGGACCAAGAGCTGGGCCTCCTCCGCTGACTACAGTGGACAGGATGGTCTATGTGGGGAGATGCGATTAGACAAATAGCTTACACCCAAACTGTATTTTGGTGCTTTCATTAACTGATACTTTAAAATCTCTGTTCAGTTGCTGTGATAAAATGTTTATTGTTTATTTAGTCATAAGTTATATTGGTGTCAGTTCATGCTTTCATCTTAACATTTAGAATTAAATACCAAAAATATTACATTATTTTCAAGCCATTTCTAGCTGAGGAGAAACAATACAGTCCCTGAGGGGAGATAGTGGCGGGGTATAAAAAAAGTTTAATAATAATAATTTATTAAATTATTTTTATTATTTTGAAGCTATTTCTAGCTGAGGAGAAACAATAAAGCACACCATGTAAGCATTCCTGGTTATTAGTTGCTTGCAGATTAGTAAGAGAAAAATTAGGCTGTCATTCTGTTTGGTAATTGTTGTGAATTGTAAATTAGCTATTGTAAACTAATACATTATTTGAACATACCGATCAATTTTGCAATTACACATAGGTATGAAACATACTCATTGTGCTTGCCATTTTATCCCAGGCTCTTCAATGTCTAAGACATTAATGCCCTTGGGGTAACCTGTATTACTAGAATTAAGTATCCTTGTAGCAGCACAAATATTTATTTATTTATTTATTTGCAGTATTTCTATTCTGCCCTTCTCACCCCGAAGGGACTAAGAGTGGATCACAGAACACATATTGCGCAAACATTCAATGCTGTTATACACTGACAAGACAGACAACTGTACATAGATAAAGGTATATATAGTCTTTCTTGTCTTCAGCATATTAGCAGGCATTTAATGCTGCAATGTATTTTACAAATGGCCCATAAATCAGTTAGTTTGGGCCTCCATATAAACCCTGGTCACTTATAGAAGTGTTTCATGTTTCATTGCTTTGAGATGAATCCTGCTTTCAATGCCATGTGATTAAGGTTGCTGCCATGAAGTGATGACATTGTAGTTAAAATCTGCATTTCTTTCTCAAGCAGAGGAATCTAGTAACTTTACAGATTTCCCTCTATTCCTCCAGTTTTAAAGATATTAATCACACATCTGTATACTGTTTTACTTTTTTAATCTACTTCAGATACTTCCTAAAATTATAAATACAACCCAGAAGCCAATAAATACAAGTACATTTGAAAAGAGCCATAGGTGAAGAAGAGGTGAAATCTGGAGCTATGAAGTCAACATAGTGGAGACTTAACTATAACCCAGTTGTGAGGATGGCAAGAACTCCACAAGTTCTTACTGCCTCAGTTTGGAAAGGCCAGTTTATGCACCTATTACTATAGTTAATGTACATATTACTATATGTCATGTCTGAGATTACCAAATGCTGTATTCTTAGTTAGAAATGCTTCTTATTACTTCTTTTATTGAAGTCTTGATGGAGATTTGAAGTTGTAAGTCTCTGCATTGCAAGGGGTTGGAGTGGATGATCCTGTGATTCTATTCTATGATTTTCAAGATTCATTTAAGGCAGTGGCTCTCAACCTGTGTGTCCCCAGATGTTTTTGCCTTCAACTCCCAGAAATCCTAATAGCTGGTAAACTGTCTGGGATTCCTGGGAGTTGTGGGTCAAAACCTTGGGGACCCACAGTTTGAGAACCACTGATTTAAGGCAATATGCTGTGCAAATTGTTGATATGAATCTTAGTTGTTTCCATCCATGTTTCTGCACATAGAAACGCAACATTTTCAACAGAATTTTTGGAGGATTTCTCATGAGGAAGGCATATGAATTGGGATGGGCTTGTGCCTACAACTTTGCGTAAGTTATAAGCTGAAACATGTTTCAAAGGGTTGTTGTAGGTTTTTCGAGCTGTATGGCCATGTTCTAGAGCTATCCTCTCAAAGGCACTGAGAGGATAGCTCACCTGGCTTTCTTCTAGACTGCTTTCCTTAGTAGTGGGTGGGAAGGACATCTTTCTCTGTAGATCCAGCGCTACCTGAAGGTCAACCTCTTTACGTATGTTCCCAACACTCATTCACCTTTCCCCCCAATGCCTATATGTGGGGACATTACTTGAGTTTTATAACTGTAGCTTTTGACTGAAAGAGTCTGTGCAAATTATAGCAGCTATGATCCAACTAAATAACAGTCTAAATAGGTATGAATGTAAAATTAATGGGCTTGCCATAAGTCAATGTGTGATTTGGATGATGTGCTTTGTGAGCTGTCCCAAGTCCCTATGGGAGATGGTGGTGGGGTATCAATAAAGTTGATGATGATGATGATGATTATTATTATTTACACACAGTCACATAGAAGAAATGTTAAATGTTACACTTGGGGTAGTTGTGATGTTGCTATGATGTTTTCTATATACCATGAAACTAACCCTTGTAGTAAGTCCTTCCACGTTGATTTGGACTAAATAAGTCTTAAAAACCTTTATATGTTGTTGAATATGCAGTGCACCATCCATTAAAAATCCTATATAAAATTGTGTAATTTTGATGCTTTGAACAAACCCACTTTATAAAATAGTCTTCATTGAATGTCTCATTCATGTTCATTCAATATCATGAAGATATCTGTAACAACAATCCTGGTTTTGTTGTTTCTGTGGCACGTAATTGAGAACATAATGATTTGTAGGTTCTAAAGTGTACTTTTTTAAAAATTTCACTCCAGAAACTCCAGACCTTACGTTGTAGCTGTAGATGATATTATGTTTCAAAAGCCAGTTGAGGTTGGATCCTTATTGCTGCTTTCTTCCCAGGTAACACATTTATTTCATTGAATTATTTTCAGACAGCACATTTATATAAATAATTGAGTTTACTCTGATAATGGAAAAGTGCCTCGTCAGAGATCTTCACAAACTGATGTTATGTTTGCAAATCCAGTAATTTTTTAATCCTATTTTTTAAAGGTATGCTATACCGAAAATAATTACACTCAAGTTCGGGTGCATAGTGAAGTTTACGATCCGGATTCCAGAGTGCATCATACAACCAATGTCTTTCATTTCACATTTATGTTAGAAATGGATATACCAGATATTGTCCCCAAGACATATGGTGGTGAGTAGATGTTAGCATTCTTTGCAGCAACTGTGTGAGTGCTGGTGTGTCATTAATTTAAACATGTAAGAATATTTGCTTGGTTAGGATCATGTGCCCAAGGAAGGAATTAACCATGTGTTTTGTTTCCCATGTTTCCTTTATTCTCCCTCCTTCTCCATCTGAGGTTATTTATGATCTAAATGTGTTCTCACGGTACAAGTCTTAAAATTCAATTTGAATTCTGATCAGTAACTCAAATACTATTTTTAGTATTTTTCAATACTAATTTGACAATTGAAAAATCCTAAAAATTGCAATATTCTAAATACTAAAATTTCAGTATTAATCTGATAATAGGGCCCTCTGGTGGCACTATTGAACTTGCTGACCATAAATAAGATTGGTGGTTCAAATCCAGAAGAGTGGGGTGAGCTCCTGCTGTTAGCCCTAGCTTCTGCCAACCTAGCAGTTCAAAAACATGCAGATGTGAGTAGATCAATAGCTACTGTTTCAGTGGGAAGGTAATGGCACTCCATGCAGTGATACTGGCCACATGGCCTTGGAGGCATTTGTGGACAATGCCGGCTCTTTGGCTTAGAAGTGGAGATGAGCACCGCTCCCTGAGTTGGACATGACTAAACTTAAGGTCAGGGGAAACCTTTACCTTTATAATCTGACAATGTATTTGCTCTTTTCATATGAACAACCTTAATTAGGAAGGACGACTCCCAATAATAACAAAGATAGGGTAAGCACTTAACTTTATCCCAACTTTGGAAAGAGAGGAGTTGAAAAAAGAAAAAAAATGAACCTACAATGTGTAAAGGCGATGTCATGAAATGTGTGACTGAAGTGCTTTAATTTCAAGCAAACCCGGCAGCCTTATTTTCTGCTTACTTAGAGTGGCTTTCTTATCTTTATTTTCCAAACTATATCTTTATCTTTATTTTCCAAACTATATACAAGTTCAAACTCACCTGTAAGTGGTCCAGTGAAAGAGGAATAAATCATGGCGCCTGAGACATATATATGTTCTTCTTATCAGATCTCATTATTCAAAGTCTGCCTACAGATATGACATGCAGTTCTTCTCCTCTACCTTCACCTGTTAGATGTTGTATACATCTTAGTTTTAATTTCTAGTCTATTTTTTAAGAGTTTTAAGAGCTTATTATGTTGTAAATGTGTGTGTGGCATTGTGTTATGTTTATTCAAGTTTGCTATTTTTATAATTTTATTGTTTGTTTACCCACTGTTAGATTTGTTATTGGTTGTTTTTGACACTGTGTTATTTCCGCTGGAAAGTGCCCTGAGTCTTCTTGGGGAGATAGGGCAAGTTATAAATAAATAAATAAATAAATAAAATTATTATCTTGGTCTAGGCATGTCCAGATCACTCCTCTGTTCTTAACCCTTTTATGTCTGGTTTTGGATACTGCATGATTAACAGAATGGATTTTTAACTTTTTACACATTCATCTATCTAAAGCTTTGACAGGTATACGATCAATGTAGAAGCCAGCGTATTTCTTCCTAATAAGCCTTGTCATTTTAGGGAGGTGGAGAAAGATCAATATAGGTGCTTTCAGTTTGACAAATACTATTGTACATGACCTAATTCTTCTGTTTTTATTTTTTTTCAGAATCCATGTTGTATTTGGATGGGAAACGGCATTTTGAGTCAGCTATGAAAGAAAACAAGGCATAGTTATCAACACAATAGAGTACAGCAAATTTATCATTTTCAGGATTGTCTTGGAAGTTTCAAGAGCTTACTTATCAGAAGAACATGGGGCAGAATATCTGAAAACATGCATCATGAATGCAAAAATACTACAAAGCATTTCATTTTCTACATTGATATTCTGTTTTATTGCTATTTATATAAATAAGTTTATGCTGATTTTGATCATTTTTTATGCAAGGAGGGAGGGTTTGTATCATGTCTATCAAAGTTGCCAAAAAAGTGAACAAAGTTTTGATGAGGGGAAATAGGGAGTAATATGGAATCCTGCTTTAAAGTTTTTTTTTCTTTTTGACCCATTAGTACTGATTCATATACACTTACATTCTTTAACACGATTGGATTATTAAACTGGCTTATATTTAGCTACATCAGCTGTAAACATGATGTCACTTGCATTATGGAAAAGGCACTTCATGTTTCAAAAGCCAATTGAGGTTGGAATCCTTATTGCTGTTCTTCTCAGATAACAAATTTATTTTATTAAACAATTTTGAGACAGCACATTTATATAAATAATTGAGCTTACTTCGATATGGAGAAGTGCCTCATCAGACCTTAATTTGGCCAGCGTGGCCCAAATATCACTCATGAAGTAATAATTCTGAGTGGAAAACATAAAATTCTTAAGAGTCAAGGCTTGACAAATTAGTCGGTATGTATTTGTAGAAATCACCCCTCCTATAATTGTTTTTATAACTATTAAATGGCTTTACAATATGGCCTTATTTAAGCTGCTGACCGCCCTTCAGAACAAATCATGAACCATGGAGAGTTGGAAAATAATAACGGATGAGTATTGATTGTATTCCATTCAAGAGACAGTTTTCCAAAAAATCTATCGTTGGTCACAACTGCCATAGGATGCTGCTTTGAACTTGGTTAAATTTTATCAAGGGTTCACCATGAATCCAGCCTAGGATCCATTCTCACAGATGCTGAAATGTTTTCATAAATAGGTATTCTTTAATATATATATTTTAAAAAATTTGTCTAACTGAAGTTATATATTGATTTTTAAAATGACACCAGGTACAGAAATATATGCTAAGTTTATTGATGTCCTGTTTCTTACTATTGTGTTCATAGGATTGATGTGCTCAAGAAGGCAGTTTTCAGGTCCAATTAACCTTTGGCAGTGTCCTGAGGTTCCCTGAAAACATGGCAGGTTTTTTAAATTATTAAAGATAGACAAGGAATATTGAAAGCTCATCCGGCCAGTTTTGATCTTCAATGCAGCGTGAAGTTGCAAAGTACTGATTGTATTCTAAACTAAGTTCACAAATCAGCCATTAAATGCAATAGAGAATAAGCATGTCAGATCTAAAACACATGCATTTTGCAGCGTATAAGGTTCCTAATTAAATCACAGGTATCTCTAGTTTTGTGCATCTTAGATGTTGGGTAAAGATATTTCTACAAATTGTCAATTCCCAGGAAATTGCCTGGTAGACAAACAGAAATTAGTGCTTGGGATTAGGAAAAAAATACCAATGGTTTAACCTATGATAGCATAATATATTCTGGTGCAGGAATGCAATCCTCTTTCTTTTCATACAGCGGGAAAATATTTCTGGTGAAGGACAAGAGTGTAAACAAACCTGTTATTATTTTCAGTAATGTCTGTTAACTGCTTCCTATATTTTTCCGACATCTAATCTGCTTTAACTGCATGTGATGTTCGTTCTATTGAGAAAATGTTTAGATGTTCAAGCCACTTTAGGCAGGATGTTAAATTTAAACTAATACAGTAAGGTGAAAACACTAGGTCTTCACTGTTTTTCAGACTCTGCACAAGACAAATGGAGTGCCTTTTTAACAGGTGGCCTTTTAATGCTGAGCTTACCATGAGAGTTCTCCCAAATGAAGCAAAAGTAAAGTTTTGGTTTATTGAAGATGAATTACATTTATTAATTGTACTTCATCTCATCTCATCTTTAATTACTTATTAATCGCCCTCCATCCGAGATATACTTCAGATACCTTGATTCTGTGGTCGAATTATTTACCACAAGGATGCTTTTACCAGTGTTCTGCTGCTGGACATTGTTGGGTCATATTCTCGAGCAACACTTTCTTCTGTAATTAGACACAATCAGTACCCAGACAGACTGTATCAGCTACTACTGAATATTCTATTCCTATTTGAGACAGAACATTTGGTTTTCTGCAGAAGTTCCTTTTCGGCAAGACAAAAGAAAATGCCCATTACTGTTTTTCTGGAGATAAGGCCTCTCAGTCATATCCACCCTGACTTGTTCCTGTGTTTTTTGAATTCTAAGATATGCTCCCTGCCCCCTCTATATAAACATCTCTAAAAATGGCTGCATCTTTGAATCATGGTGCCTTTTTCTATATAAATAAAGCATTTTTCTTGAAATAGTGTGCTTCTTACAATCAATGGTGTCTTGGAATCAAAGAAATACAGATAGTTATATGGATGTGTTTTGCTTCTTTTGGTCTGTTAATTCTTTTTATCTCCTTTTTAAAATTCTGGTAGTATTTTGAAGTATTTGCTGAGAAAGCACATGTCTGCTTTAGTGCTTCCAAAAAAAAAGAAAAGAAAGCAGCTCCCCCTGGTGGATGTCGGAAGTACAGTCTTGACCACTTGTGAATGGGACAAATTGCACAACACAACCTTGGTTGTCCCTTGGTTGTCCTTCCTCCGAGAACTAGTGGATATGGAAAAAAGGATAATTCTGGCATTTTATTTAATGTTTTAAAGGATGCTTAATTTTACTTTTATAGCACTTAGCTATAGTTGGATTTCACAGGCTCTGAAATTAATTAAGCTGATAAAAGTGTATCCTATTGATACAAAATACATACCGGTATTTATAATTGGTTTTTCGTTACTGTCCCTTTCACTTTGTACATACAGAATTTCAGTTCATTGAAAGCAATCTAGTCTTTGCTGCACTGTCCAATAAGTGGATTTGGAAGCAAGTTCCATATTAAGTTACTTTATTAGAATCTAAGCAATTTGCAAGACATTGAACTCAAGAGTAAGGTGCTTATTTTTGAGTAAACAAACATAAATTCAGTTTACAAATCTTGTGGATTTATTCCTTAGGGTGTTGAGAGTTCTCGGGGAGCATCTAAATATTGTGCGTAATTTTACGTAATATTTTGGCATTCAGGACCTTCAAGCTACCATATTTTCCAGCATATAAGACAGCTGGGCATATAAGATAACCCCCAACTTTTCCAGTTAAAATATAGAATTTGGGATATATTCGCCGTATAAGGCTACCCCTCTTCCAACGAACACCAAATAAAAAAAATTAAAAACTTCAGATTTGATTTCAATATAGTAATTTTCCTATTACCGTACCTCCTTCCCTGCCTCTCAGATCTCGCACGTGCGCGCCTGCGCTGCTTCACTGAAGTCATCAGGAGCAAGATCTGAGAGGCAGAAAAGGAGGTATGGTAATAGGATACAAGGACAGGCCAGACGGGTGAAAAAGGCATGTTTTTCTGGGCACAGCACCATTCTATCTCTTTTCCATAACCTGGGCGTCCCAGATGACTGCAGCTTGCTCTACCCTTCCCTTATACCTTCCTGGTGAGCTGCCCCCTCACCTCATCATCGGGACTGTGTTAAGTCATTTCTTTCCACAAATCTTGTTGAGTGGATTTTCTTTTTTTGTGTATTAACACTTTTTTGAGCTTTCCTCGCCATATGTGGCAACCACAGATTCTCTAGTCTGGCTTGGAAGTTTCAGCACCCGCCCTATAAGACGACACCTGGCATATAAGACGACCCTTGGCTTTTGAGAAGATGTTTCTGGGTTAGAAAGTAGTCTTATACGCCAGAAAATTGTTTATTCGTTCAGTCTTCAGTTGTGTGTGACTCTTCGTGACCTCATGGACCAGCCCATGCCAGAGCTCCCTGTACAAGCTATTTCTACATAATAGATTTCCACCAGCAATCCCCTTCACCACAAACTTGACAGGCAGACAGTTATCAAAAGTAGCAGAACTTTATTGACAATATCTTAATTGTGTTTTTGAAAAATTGTAGTTAGTTCATTTTACCAAAATACTTCAGTTTTCCTGCAGGATCCGGAATTATCTGTTTAAAGGGGGAAATGTCATCAAGAAAACCCAGTTAGAACTGCTGTTTTGTGACACATATGCTAAATGCACTGCAATCATGACCATGCTGATCAAGGGGTTTGGTTTAACTACATCACCCTGAAATTTCCATAGATTTAAGTAAGACCTGTATACGCAAAGCATTTTCTGGTCTGATGATGATGAGTATGATAACAATAATTCATTTATTGCCCACCTTACTGCTCATGGAACAAAAATTAAAATACAATAAAATATTCTCTATCCAAATTTAAACGGAATGGCCTATAGATATGAATACACTTTGGTATAACTCATCGCACATGTGTGTGTATACACACACAAACTTGAGTGTTGATCTTTCCTATGTTAATTTATTCCTAAAATTATTGAGGAATTATTTTATTTTATCCTGTCTTTCTTTTAAATAAAAGAATGAAAGCTCTTACCAACTTCTATTAAATATAAATTTATAGCTACATTAATTCTATAAGTCTTATTTAAATACAACAATCACAGATCAGTTGCTGGCACCATTTTTTGGTTCCATTTTACTCAAATGTTTTAGGATAACTAATAATGTTTTCATTGCAATATGCTATAATATCTACTCTTCATAAATCAACTATATAACATGTAAGCTCCTTTCAAAACCTCACAAAAGTGAAAAAGTAGAAACTAACATCATAGAAAACAAAGGAAAAATTGAAAAGATGATGTAAAAGGGATTGCCTATTCATAAGTTTATGTCACAAATAACTAAAATAATTACAGGATGCTTTAGAAATTGTATTACGGACTTCCTAATATTTAAGCTGTATCTTTTAAGGACTCTAGTGAAATGCAATGACTTGAGCAAATGATAATCATCAACCTGAGATTTATTCAGGTTCTAAATTCTACAAAGATGAGCAGAACATGAAGCACATACAATGTCACAAGAGGCTCTCTAGCCAAAGATTAATTTATATGCAGGGAAGTCAACTAAATAGGAGGTGGTAGTGACATTGCATACCTGCTGCTTTTGATATGCTGATGGCATTCCTTACAATATATAACACAAAGCATTTTTTCAAATGAGAATTAAGCAACTGCCTTGAAAACAATACACTTAAATGACAACTTACTGTTTCACTGCCTGGTCTCCATCCAGCAGGACAAACTGAGAAGGCAAGGAAAGGAGAATTAATGTAATGTTAGTTTTGTTTTTTTAAAGTGTCCTATTTATGTTTTGCAGATTAGCCCTAATGCAGTTCAATATCTATCATAAAGATAAGAAAGTAAGATTAAGTTCTAACCCCAAACTAATAGATTAAAAGTAATTGAGGGGAAATTTATCCAGAGTGCTTCGTAGGCTCCCAATTGTTTTTAATTAAGACTTTTCAAGAAAAAATGAAAATGAAAAAGCACAGCAGATTAATCTGGGAAGGGACTATGATAAAGCCAAAGTGAAAAACGATTGGTAAAATCAATTTCACATTATTCAATAAGTTGCTGAATTGGTGATGTAAACAATCTTGAAATAAGGAAAAAAAGCTGACTACATGTTTGTCATAGACCACTGTGTGTGCCTATTTATGGGTCACATTAAGGGCCCATCTTACTTACTTTACTTAGGCGATCCCTCGTTGGACGAGTAAGATGGTCTTCCGTTATTGATTTCCTTGTGGGTCCGTATGTGGCTGTGGAGCCCTATTCTTGCTCTGCATCTTCTTCCACAGTGGGGGCATTGGTTTCCAGGTGGAAGGCGGTCCCGGTCGGGGTTGGCTTGACGCGCCTTCCTCCTGGCACGTTTCTCTCTTTCACCCTCCACTCATGCCTCCTCAAATTCTGCAGCACTGCTGGTCACAGCTGACCTCCAGCTGGAGCGCTCAAGGGCCAGGGCTTCCCAGTTCTCAGTGTCTATGCCAGAGTTTTTAAGGTTGACTTTGAGGCCATTTTAAAATCTCTTTTCCTGCCAACCAACATTCCGTTTTCTGTTCTTGAGTTCGGAGTAGAGCAACTGCTTTGGGAGACGGTGGTCGGCATCCGGACAACGTGGCCGGCCCAGCGGAGTTGATGTTGGAGGACCATCGCTTCAATGCTGGTGGTCTTTGCTTCTTCCAGCACACTGACGTTTGTTCGCTTGTCTTCCCAGGAGATTTGCAGGATTTTCCGGAGGCAGCGCTGATGGAATCGTTCCAGGAGCTGCATGTGACGTCTGTAGACAGTCCACGTCTCACAGGCATAGAGCAGGGTTGGGAGGACAATAGCTGTATAGACAAGCACCTTGGTCTCCCTACGGATGTCCCGGTCCTCAAACACTCTCTGCTTCATTCTGGAAAATGCTGCACTTGCAGAGCTCAGGCGGTGTTGTATTTCGGCGTCGATGTTGACTTTGGTGGAGAGGTGGCTGCCAAGGTAGCGGAAATGGTCAACATTTTCTAATGGTATACCATTAAGCTGTATCTCTGGCATTGGAGAGGGATTGGCTGGCGACTGCTGGAACAGCACCTTGGTTTTCTCGATGTTCAGTGACAGGCCGAGCTTCTCATATGCTTCTGCGAAGGTGTTTAGAGTGGCTTGTAGATCTTCTTCTGAATGCGCACAGACGACATTGTCATCAGCATACTGGAGTTCTATAACAGATGTTGTTGTAACCTTGGTTTTGGCTTTCAGTCTGCTGAGGTTAAATAGCTTGCCATCTGTCCGATAGATTATTTCCACTCCGGTGGGAAGCTTCCCATCAACAAGGTGAAGTATCATAGCGATGAAGATGGAGAATAGAGTTGGGGCAATAACACATCCCTGTTTGACACCCGATTCCACCTTAAATGGGTCACTTTGGGAGCCACTGCTGTCCAAGACTGTTGCCATCATGTCATCATGGAGGAGCCGCAGGATGTTCACAAATTTGTTTGGGCACCCGATTTTGTGGAGGATGGTCCAGAGAGCGCTGCGATTCACTGTGTCGAATGCCTTTGCAAGGTCAATGAATGCCATGTACAGAGGTGGTTTTGTTCTCTGCATTTTTCTTGGAGCTGTCGTGCAGTGAAGATCATGTCCACTGTTCCTCTGGAGGGGCGGAAGCCATTCTGGGATTCTGGGAGGGTGTCTTCTGAGAGGGGCAGAAGGCGGTTTGCAAGGATTCTTGCGAGGATTTTCCCAGCGGAGGTTAGAAGGGAGATACCTCGATAGTTTCCGCAGTCTGTTCTTTCCCCTTTTTTGAAGAGGGTGATGGTGGTGGCGTCCTTGAAATCTGCTGGGATTTTCTCGGTCACCCACACTTTTTCTATGAGCTGGTGGAGTTGGTGTGTCAGCTCAGGTCCTCCCTCTTTAAAGATTTCAGCAGGGATCCCATCTGGTCCACTGGCTTTGTTATTCTTCTGTTGGCTGATGGCATTGCTGACTTCTTCCAAACTAGGCAGTGCTGCAAGCTCATCCCTGGTTTGTTGTGGATTTGTGAGAGGACCTCTTCGGCCACATTGGAGCTGCGGTTCAGGAGGCTTTGTTAGTGTTCTTTCCAACGTAGTGCAATTGAGTTTTGGTCCTTCAGGAGTTTGGTTCCATCTGATGAGCGTAGAGGCTGTATGCCATGGTTTCTTGGTCCGTAGATGACCTTTGTGGCTTTGAAAAATCCCTGAGCATTATGGGTATCTGCCAGGTGTTGGATTTCTTCAGCCTTCTTTGTCCACCAGATGTTCTTGAGTTCTCTTGTCCTTCTTTGGACCTCAGCTTTTGCACTGGCATAGATCTTTTTCTTAGCAGCACAGTTGATGTCTCTCTGCCATGCTTGGAAGGATTTCCTTTTCTTGTCAATTAGCTGTTGGATCTCGATGTCATTTTCATCAAACCAGTCTTGATGTTTCTTGGCTTGGTATCCAATAGTTTCTTCGCAGGCTTGGATGATGGAGGTCTTCAGTTTGTTCCAATGTTCCTCAACATTTTCGGGGTGTACTGTGGGTAGATGGTCCTTGAGTGCTGTTTGGAGATGGGCTCGTCTGGAGGGCTCCTGAAGGGCTTGGGTGTTCATTTTGCGCCTTGTCTTCCTTCCTTGGAGTCTGCGCTTGGGAGCGATCTTGATAGCCATCGAGGATCGAATTAGCCTGTGGTCAGTCCAGCAGTCATCAGCACCTGTCATGGCTCTTGTGAGGAACACGTCACGGCGGTCTCTGGCACGTGTGATTACATAGTCTAAGAGGTGCCAATGCTTGGACCGGGAGTGCTTCCATGATGTCTTGAACTTGTTTTTCTGGTGGAAGAGAGTGTTGGTGATGACAAGGTTGTGTTCCGCACATTTGGTGAGAAGCAGGATGCCATTCGAGTTGCTGTTTCCAACCCCGTCTTTTCCTATGGTCCCTGGCCACAGGTCGAAGTCTCGCCCGACTCTTGCATTGAAGTCCCCCAGGAGGATGATTTTGTCCTCCTTAGGTATCCCCGATAGGACGGTGTCCAGCTGACAGTAGAATTTCTCCTTGATGTCTTCGTCAGCATCTAGTGTTGGTGCATAGGCACTTATGATGGTTGCCCGTTGGTTTTTGGCAAGATCGATTCGGAGGGTTGAGAGTCGTTCGTTGATGCCAGTGGGTGCTTCGGACAGATGTTTCATCAGATCATTTCTGATGGCGAAGCCAACTCCGTGCATTCTTTGGTCTTTTTCGGGCAGTCCCTTCCAGAAGAAGGTGTAGCCTCCTTTTTCTTCCTTCAGCTGTCCCTCTCCTGCTCTCCGGGTCTCCTGAAGGGCTGCTATGTCGATGTTGAAGCGTCCCAGCTCCCTTGCAATGATGGCAGTTCTGCGTTCGGGGCGTTCACTGCCACTGTTGTCCATCAGAGTCCGTACGTTCCACGTACCGAAGTTCATTTTTCTTTTTTGGCCGCAGGGTGGTGACCCCACTGGACGCGGCAGTCCAGTCAGGGATAAGTGAGGCAGACTATGTTTAGGGCACCTTTTCTAGCCCCCTCCCCATGTGGGGTGAGCAGAGTGGGTCCTCAATAGGGCTGCTCAGTCGCTGATACAGCTGCCGAACTACTCAACTGCCTCGGACCTTGAGGTAGAACGACTGAGTCCGTACCCACCGCCCATGTGCCAGTCTGTGACTAGGGGCTTCCAGATTTCACAGTCCTGCCCCCGTCGCCACTCGCTGATCGCCATGGGACTTGGTTGGTTGGTTTTTATTTTCTTTGGAAGACGCCTGTGCGTGTGTTTTTTTAATGTGTGGAGGTCAGTGCACAACTGATCAACACACAGACTTCACAGAGTGAGGTTCCACTGGTGATGTAGTTTAACACAATGACCGTGGCTTCTCAGTCTGTTGCAGCCTTCTTCCGCCTTCGCAGCCGTTGTAACATGTGCCATGTTATCCTCCGCCTGCTCTGCCGTTGAGGTCTTTGGGTCTTCGGACTGTGCTTGGTCTGGGACCTCCCCCGCAGCCACTCCTGGGAGTGCACGACTCCAGTTGTTGTGCCTACAGGTTCATCGGAACACGCAAGCCCCCTCACCACGACAAGGTGACAGTCCATCGAGGGGGCCCATCTACACAGTACCTAAAACACGAGGTTTCCCGTATTAAAAAGGGGGATGGCTACTTGGTGATAGTAGCTTTCCTTAACAGACTAGAAAGATTGTTTCTCTGATGTTTTAATCAAAGAAAAAAGGGCAGTGCAGTGCATATAATTCTAACACAGAATTATACTGAAAACTGCAATAACAAGCCACCTGGAAAATAACAGAATGAATTATAGTCATCCCTCTGTATCCATGGATTCCGCATCCATACATTCCATCATGCACAGCTTGATTTTTTTTTTTAAAAAAAAACCAAAAACAAACCTTGATTTTGACATTTTATATAAGGGACAACATTTTACTATATAATTGTATATAACGAGACCTGAGCATTCAAAGATTTTGGAATTCATGCAGCAGTCCTGGAATTAAACTGCAGTAGATACCAAGCAACCTTTCAAGTTCTGCTGCAGCTTCAGACTGCTGAATTTTCAAGCTGTGAAATTTTAATGTAAATACAGGATACAAGGCCAAGTCTAATAATTCTCATTGTCAAAAATATTGAAGAATTAGAAATACCTTCTCCATGTTTATCGGTATACTGGAATGCTTGTACTAGACGAATAGTTTCATCCACAGATCTTCCAACGGGAAGGTCATTCATTGTTATTTGTCGAAGAATTTTTTTGTCATCAATAATGAACAGGCCTCTGTGAAACCATGAAAAAATACAAGAAAGAGTGTCAGTACATTCACTCAACACATATATTATTATAATGGAGCAATATTGGAAACAATCCTTAAATCCCCTAATATCTGCACCAGCAAGAAGAGTAACAAGTGAACAGTTGACATTATACCTAAGAGCATGTCCTTGGTCCTCTAGATAAACACCATAATCCTTTGCGATCTGGTGTGTCAAATCAGAAAGAAGTGGTATCTTCACAGGTCCAAGTCCTCCTTGTTTCCGTTGTGTATTGATCCTATTGACGTAAAGATTATCAAATACTTTAGGTAGAATTATTTCATACTTTTTTATCTATGCAGTGAATTTGTGATCCACAACCCATTTATTTTGCCCACAGCATATTTCGGTTCCATTAGAATAAAATAGATAAATAAATAAATAATTTCTAAAAAGCTGACATATGGGATTATTGTTATTGACCTACATGACTTTAAAATATATATTATATCAGGTAGTGAATTCAACAGACGTTATGTTCCTTATTCCACTGAGAGATTGCCTATGAATGGACACCTGATGTTATGCAATAGTTGCTGCAATGTAACAACACGTAAACAGGGTGAACTGGATTATGTGCTAGGTTCCCCAAGATTTCTTGAAACAAAACTTCTGATTGGCACACTAAACTCCAACAGAAAACTATCTATGACTTGAATTTTTTTAAAAAAAAAAGACATACCATGCTAGATGAGTGAACTGCGAATCTACAGAGCAAGCTACTACTTCAGCATTTACTGCTCTGAATTCTTCAATTCTGTCACTGAAGGCAATTATTTCGGTTGGACACACAAATGTGCTAAATTAAAACAAAACATAAGGTTGTAGCCTAAATTTCAAAAAGCTAAAACAATAGTTTGTTACATCTCTAAAGCACAGATGAACTGATATCCTGTGATGCAAATGATGCAGTGATTTCTGCAAATCTTGAACAAATTTAAAGATTTTGACATACTATCCTTAAAGGAATTTCCCATGCGTGCAAAAAATGTTTATTTTCTTTTCTCTTGTTGTAAATTTAAAAATCTCTCCCCCCCCCTCCCCCCACTGAACAACCGCTGAACACTGAAGAAACTTGCTGGAGGAAGATGAGAACTTTTCTTCTTTAAGCCTTTAGTATCTCAAAACTACATTTTCTTTCTCAATTGTCCCAACACTGTGCCACATAATGCGTAAGGTTAGAACTGGATACAAGCTCCAACAGAATAGATATATGGAAGGCTTCATCTATAAAGTGGGAGAGCAATGATCACAGATCCTTGTTAGGCCTGTTTGGTGTTTTACCCTTTTGATATCCAGTTGATATTCTATTCAAATCCCCCGAGCAAGCAAAAAACATGTTTGAAAGTGACTATGTTTTGCTGAAGATTGTCCAGGCACAGGACCACATACATTTCTTTTTTAAGAAGTGGTCATAGCAACTAATCTTACGTTTTCAAACTATTTCTCACAACTTACTTCACTGATAGTTAGACTCTGAAGGCTAACTATTAATTATCACTCCAAACATTGAAAATAATTCAATGTATGAAGTTCAAAAACATAAGTCTTAAAGGGAGCTGAAAATTTTTCCTTTTGATTTGGAATTCTAGGCAACAAATGCTGGTTTTCACTTATGAAACTGTTGAATTGGGAAAGGGGAAATCTCTTTTCCCTCATGACACCCCTAAAAACAGTTGGAAAATTTAGAAATCCTCTGGACCTGGGTTTGATGCAACTGCAAAGGGATGCTATAGAGACAAGAGGTAAACTATTACACTGGTGATAAGCAATATTTTAATACTAGATGTAGGTAAGTACTCAAATTTCACTTTCCCTGCTCACAACTACAGTTATAAGATTTACAGCATACATTGTCAGACCTCAATCCTCCCCCCCCCCACACTTTTTACCTTTCCAACATGGAAAAATTAAGATTATAAATCTAGAGATTCCCCCTCAAATGTGGCAACAACACTTCCTACAGTCTCTTTTGGATAGCAGAAATTCTGTTTCAAAAACATTTTAATTATAATTTTAATAATTTCGCTTACAAGTCAAGAGGATAAAAGAAGAAAACAAGGTATTTCCCTTCAAAATCTGACAATTTTAGTTCTTTAAACTCTCCATTGATGACTGCTGTTCCTTCCCATTCAGGTGCTGGTTTAGAAACTATGAATAAAATAAGATATAATCAATTATAATACAAATATAATATAGATGATAATAAGAATTTCACAACAAGAAAAAATGTTAATTTTTCTTTGGTCAATAGGTTTTTTTCCATTTCATTTCTAGAAAGTGAAAATATATTTCCATTTTATAGACACAATCCTGGAAGAATTCAAGTGATGGAGATTTTATTTCAGCTGTCGTGGCTTATGCTTGTTGTTATGCACACTATATATGTTCCTGGGAACTGGTTTACCAATACATATATAATTTTCTGCTTATGAGAGCCATGAATATGTCAGGACACTTGGATAAGATCTGGTGTGAAGCTTTTACTGCAGGGAAAGTAATAGAATTAGCATCACGCTAATCAACCTTTTCCTTTGGTAAAAAAAAATGCACAAGGTTCAAATGAACAGAACAATTTTAGATTTGACTAGCTGTGCCCTGCCACGTGTTGCTGTGAGCTATAGTAAAACTTATCAAAGTTGAGGTAGATATCTGGACTATTATGAAAGAGAGGTACCTACCTATTCCTTCCCCCTTTTCCTCCCCCTTTCTCTCCTTTCTTCCTTCTCTACCTCTTTCTTTCTTTCCTTCTTTCACTACTTGGTTTCATCCTTCTCTCTTTCCTTCATTCCCTCCCCCTTTCTTCCTTTGCCTTTCTTCCCTCCCTGTTTGCTTCCTTCTTTCACATTTTATTTCCTTTTATTTCACCACCATCATAACAATAACAATAATGCAATGCATTGCCTCTGGGACCTGACACCTCTCCCATTCCCCCAGGGTCTAATAGGAATAATAGCATAATAATAATAGAAATAACAACCTTTACCCGCCACGTGTTGCTGTGGCCAACCTTCCCTCTTTCTCTCCTTCTTCCCCTTCCTTCCTTCCTTCTCCTCTTCCTTCTCTATCTCTTTCCTTCCTTCCCCCTTTTTCTTTCTCTTCTGGTCTCTTTTCTTCCTTCTCTCTTTCCTTCTTTCCTTCCCTCCCTCTTTCTCTACATCTTCCCCCTTCCTTCACTCCCTCTTTCCTTCCTTCATTCCCTTTTTTCTTCTCTCCTTCCTTCCTTCCCCCTTTTTCTTTCTCTTCTGGTCTCTTTTCTTCCTTCTCTCTTTCCTTCTTTCCTTCCCTCCCTCTTTCTCTACATCTTCGCCCTTCCTTCACTCCCTCTTTCCTTCCTTCATTCCCTTTTTTCTTTCCTTCTCTCCTTCCTTCCTTCCCCCTTTTTCTTTCCCTCCCTCTGTCTCTCATTTCTTCCTCCTCTACCTCTTTCCTTCCTTCCCCCTTTTTCTTTCTCTTCTGCTGTCTCTCTTTTCTTTCCTTCCATCTTTCCTTTTCTTTCCTTTTCTTCTTCCTTCTTTCTCTAACTTTCCTTCCTTCCCCCTTTTTCTTTACCTCCCTTTCTCTTTCTTCCTTCTTTCCTTCCTTCCTGTCTTTCCTGGATTTTGACAGGGCGGGAAGGGGTGGGGTGGGGTTTGGAGGTGGCGTGAAGTAAAAGGAGGTAAGATTGGGGCAGGGGAGTGATGGAGCGTGGGGTTGTGTGTGTGTGTGCGGCGGCGGGGGAGTGATGGAGCGTGGGGTTGCGTGTGTGTGTGCGGCAGCAGGGGAGTGGGGTTGCGTGTGTGTGTGCGGGTGGGGGGGATGGATGGAGCGTTGGTGTGCGGGGGGAGTGATAGAGCGTGGGGTTGTGTGTGTGTGGCGGCAGCGGGGGAGTGGGGTTGCATGTGTGTGTGCGGCGGGGAGTGATGGAGCGTGGGGTTGCGTGTGTGTGTGCGGCGCGGGGGGAGTGATGGAGCGTGGGGTGTGTGTGTGCGTGCGGCGGCGGGGGAGTGGGGGGGCGTGGTGTGTTTGTGCGGTGGCGGGGGAGTGAGCGTGGGGTTGCGTGTGTGTGTGCGGCGGCGGGGGGAGTGATGGAGCGTGGGGTTGTGTTTGTTTGTGCGGGCAGGGGGAGTGATGGAGCGTGGGGTTGCGTGTGTGTGTGCGGTGGTGGGGGGGTGCGTGGGGTTGCGTGTGTGTGTGCGGCGGCGGGGGAGTGATGGAGTGGGGTTGCGTGTGTGTGCGGCGGCGGGGGAGTGGGGTTGCGTGTGTGTGCGGCGGCGGGGGGAGATCGGAAGGGGTTGCGTGTGTGTGGGGGCGGGGGAGGATGGAGCGTGGGGTTGCGTGTGTGTGTGTGGCGGCGGGGGAGGGATGGGGTTGCGTGGGTGTGTGCGGCGGCGGGGGGAGTGGGGTTGCGTGTGTGTGTGCGGCGGGGGGGGGGTGATGGAGCGTGGGGTTGCGTGTGTGTGTGCGGCGGCGGGGGAGTGATGGAGCGTGGGGTTGCGTGTGTGTGCGGCGGCGGGGGGAGTGGGGTTGCGTGTGTGTGTGCGGCGGCGGGGGGAGTGGGGTTGCGTGTGTGTGTGCGGCGGCGGGGGGAGTGATGGAGCATGGGGTTGTGTGTGTGTGCGTGCGGCAGGGTGTGTGTGTGTGCGGGAAGCGGCGCGGCGGGGCTTGGAGTGGGCATGGCTTCCACAGAGGGAACGTTGGCCGGAAGGCTGTGTGCGCGCGCCAGGGAACTTGCGGCTGGGCGCCAATGCGCATGCTCAGTTGTTTTGCCGTTTTGTTAGTGTGTTGTTGTGTTGTTTTTCATTTTGAGTAGATATGTTTGTACCTTGTGGGTTGTGTTATGGGCATGGGAATTTTGGTTAAGTTTCGTTGGTTTTTTTTTAGTTTTGTTGTTTTGCCGTTTTGTGAGTGTGTTGTTGTGTTGTTTTTCATTTTGAGTAGATATGTTTGTACCTTGTGGGTTGTGTTATGGGCATGGGGATTTTGGTTAAGTTTCGTTGGGGGATTTTTGAGTTTTGTTGTTTTGCCGTTTTGTGAGTGTGTTGTTGTGTTGTTTTTCATTTTGAGTAGATATGTTTGTACCTTGTGGGTTGTGTTATGGGCATGGGAATTTTGGTTAAGTTTCATTGGGGTTTTTTAGAGTTTTGCTGTCCCGTTGGACTCGCCTAACAGATTTATATATATAGATTAGGCAAACTATGTATCCATTTACAAAAACTACCAATGTAGAAACCTAGATTTACAAACACACTGAATATCTGGGACTATTTATTGAAGTAGATATTATTTGCATTACAAAGGAACTGAAAACTGTAGTTGTGTGTCTTCATGTCATTTCTGACGTATGGTGACCCTAAGGCAGGGGTGTCAAACGCATTTTCATCGAAGGCCACAGCAGTCTTACATAATGTCTTGTTTACATAATGGTCAGTGCTTTTCAGTATTTACCAAATTTTTCAGTATTTACCAAATTTTCAGTATTTACCAAATTCAACCACACAGATGTTATTGAATGGCAACTTGCATCACTTCTACTTATCTGGCATGTGGACTGGGAAAAACGGGGATTGCAAGCCAACAACACTTGTGGTTCTGAGATTGGAGAAATGCCAGGCATGTTATGTTATCGACAAGCCTTGTATATAAATTCAAACACCATGCTTCTGACTAAACGCTACAAATTGCAGCCTTCCAGATGTTACTGTATTTCCCATTACCTCTAGCCATGATGACTAATGATGTGGAATACAGGCCAACAACAGAAGATCTATATAAAACTAGCTGTGCCCTGCCACGCGTTGCTGTGGCCTATAGTAAAACTTATCAAAGTTGAGGTAGATATCTGGACTATTATGAAAGAGAGGTACCTACCTATTCCTTCCCCCTTTTCCTCCCCCTTTCTCTCCTTTCTTCCTTCTCTACCTCTTTCTTTCTTTCCTTCTTTCACTACTTGGTTTCATCCTTCTCTCTTTCCTTCATTCCCTCCCCCTTTCTTCCTTTGCCTTTCTTCCCTCCCTGTTTGCTTCCTTCTTTCTCTTTTTATTTCCTTTTATTTCACCACCATCATAACAATAACAATAATGCAATGCATTGCCTCTGGGACCTGACACCTCTCCCATTCCCCCAGGGTCTAACAGGAATAATAGCATAATAATAATAATAGAAATAACAACCTTTACCCGCCACGTGTTGCTGTGGCCAACCTTCCCTCTTTCTCTCCTTCTTTCCCTCCTTCCTTCCTTCCTTCCCTCCCATCTTTCCTTCTCCTCTTCCTTCTTTATCTCTTTCCTTCCTTCCCCCTTTTTCTTTCTCTTCTGGTCTCTTTTCTTCCTTCTCTCTTTCCTTCTTTCCTTCCCTCCCTCTTTCTCTACATCTTCCCCCTTCCTTCACTCCCTCTTTCCTTCCTTCATTCCCTTTTTTCTTTCCTTCTCTCCTTCCTTCCTTCCCCCTTTTTCTTTCCCTCCCTCTGTCTCTCATTTCTTCCTTCTCTACCTCTTTCCTTCCTTCCCCCTTTTTCTTTCTCTTCTGCTGTCTCTTTTCTTTCCTTCCATCTTTCCTTTTCTTTCCTTTTCTTCTTCCTTCTTTCTCTAACTTTCCTTCCTTCCCCCTTTTTCTTTACCTCCCTTTCTCTTTCTTCATTCTTTCCTTCCTTCCTGTCTTTCCTGGATTTTGACAGGGCGGGAAGGGGCGGGGTGGGGTTTGGAGGTGGCACGAAGTAAAAGGAGGTAAGATTGGGGCGGGGGAGTGATGGAGCGTGGGGTTGCGTGTGTGTGTGTGTGCGGCGGCGGGGGGTTGTGTGTGTGTGTGCGGCGGGGGGGGGATGGAGCGTGGGGTTGCGTGTTGTGTGTGCGGCGGGGGGGGAGTGGGGTTGTGTGTGCGGCGGGGGGGAGTGATGGAGCGTGGGGTTGCGTGTGTGTGTGCGGCGGCAGGGGGAGTGGGGTTGCGTGTGTGTGTGCGGCGGGGGGAGTGATGGAGCGTGGGGTTGCGTGTGTGTGTGTGGCGGCGGGGGAGTGGGGTTGCGTGTGTGTGTGCGGCGGCGGGGGAGTGATGGAGTGTGGGGTTGCGTGTGTGTGTGCGGCAGGGGGTGTGTGTGTGTGGGAAGCGGCGGGGCTTGGGGGGGGGAGTGGGAGGCGTGGGTGTGTGTGTGCGAGCGCGGCGGGGTGGTGGCATGG